CTGCTTCTTGGCCCCTGCCACTCTAGGATCCTGTCATCCCTACTGATATCAAGGATTCCATTTCAATGGCAACATCTCTAAGCTTCATCCCCAGCCTATAGGGGATATACACTATAGCATTTTCAAAGTGAGGTGTCCCCTTATCTATGCACTTTCTATTTTTTTGTGTGTGTGTGAAAGAAATGTCCTCTGAGCAATTCCGGAGGCAGAATTAGGAGATGAGTACATACACATATGATAAATCTACACCAACTCTACTATCTCTATGTTTTTGCATTCAGCTTCTAATACTATAGTAAGAAATTTTTAGCAAGTGTTCAGTTCAGTTCAGTTCAGTCACTCAGTCATGTCCGACTCTTTGTGACCCCATGAACCGCAGCACACCAGGCCTCACTGTCTATCACCAACTCCTGGAGTCTACCCAGACCCATGTCCATTGAGTTGGTGATGCCATCCAACCATCTCATCCTCTGTCGTCTCCTTTTCCTGCCCTCAATCTTTCCCAGCATCAGGGTCCTTTCAAATGAGTCCACTCTTAGCAAGTGTAGACCCCTCTTAAGTCCAGGTTTCATCCAACCAACCAGCTAAGAGCTATTCTTAGCTGCTAATGCCAATATACTGATTCCAGAATCTCTAGAATGCCCATATTAATAAACTCAACCAAATGAAAATAAAATTATATTTGTTTCTTCCTGGTCTAACACCTTTAGAATCCAGTCCACACATGTTCATTCCCCAGGTTTCTACTGATTCAAATGAGCAAAATCTTATAATTCTGTAACCTTCCCTTCTCTAAGGTCAGATTTTGTGGTTACCCACTCCAGAATTCTGGCCTGGAGAATTCCATGGACTGTATAGTCCATGGGGTCGCAAAGAATCGGACACGACTGACTTTCACTTCAATATGCTTCTGAAGCATATTGGGATCTGACTCTAGCCACAGATCTGATAGTAATAAGGGACAGCAATAAGCATTTCCTTTCAACACAACTACCCAAGGTCTCCAAGTAAGACAGCACCAGCCCTATCAACAGGAGGAAGAAGGGCTGCTTCTGCTGGTAAGAAAAGCAAAGTATACGTCTGATTTCGGAATCTAAGCAGGGTCGGGCCCGGTTAGTACCTGGATGGGAGAAGCAAAGTGTAGAGTTTGTGGGTTCAGAACACTAGGATTTATCCAAATTTACTCAAATGTCCCCATTTTTCACTTTACTCTTTCCCAAACAGCATCCTAATTTTCACCTAAGAGACCTGGTAAGCTAAGAATTTAACTTATGTTGTAATTCAGTAACCCAGAATCTCTCCTTGAGTTTTCATGTACATCAGCCTTGTGGTTACAAAAGACAGCCCCGAGTTGAAAATTTAAAAGCACTTGAGACTTTCACTTTCTTTTTTTAACCTCTCTAGCAAAAGCACCACCATTTATGTCTTCATTTCTTACACAGTGGTCCGTTGTGGCAGCCACTTGGTCTATCAAAGTCTTTTATCCAAAAGACAGTTCATTTAACATGACCACAAGTATAAATAATCTTTGCTTACCAGCTTACCATTTTCCAATGACAACTAGATTCTCACTTCCTTCAAATCCAACTTAGTCATAACTAAGCAAGAATCCCATTTTTTAGGGCCTGTTATCTATAACCAGTTTTGGAACCAAATACTGTTATCGGTTAGGGTTCTGAAACTTCAGGAAACAAAACTGTTTCACCTATTTTAAGTAGAAGAGAATTTGATACAGGTAAATTAGGTGTTTACAAAAGAACTGGAATGTTGGGCAAGTGGGCTCTAGGCTGGGGTGTCCAAGAGACTCCCAGATTGGCCCACTATGAGAACTGCTACCTCTGCCACCATCAGGAAAGAGGAGGAACCAGGAGGCCAGCACTGGCTGACTGTGAGACCATACATCACGAACAGTTATTTATGCATCAGGAAGCCCTTTGACATCCACACAAATACTGATGGATACTGGTATACTGCTAGAGGGAAACCTAAGTGCTCTGTATCTTTGCAGGAGCAATAAAGGTTGCTAAAGATGACCCTTGAAGCACTTCCTCAACATCCTTGTTTGTGCATCTAACTGGCAAAGCAGATTACATTCAGAACCTTGATTTCAAGGAAGTGTAAGACATATAGTTTTAACTTTTCAGTCTCTAGAGTACAAGAAAGTACATTAGAAAGAGGTCAGAGTGAATAAGTACCCATTTATCATTTCCACAAATTTCTTTCCATTGGCCCATCCAAGTAGGGTTGGTGACCAGACATGCCCCAGTTTTAGCCTTTTAAAGTTGACCACAAACACCCCATCTGTCTGGCTTTGAAGATGACTTCTCCTCCTGGCCTCAGAGGAACCTAAAATGTCCTTGTCTACACAATCTTGTCCTCAGCCACCTTTTCAACCTATTACTTTACTCCTCCTTCGTTCACTCTGTTCCAGCCATTTAGGCCTCTATGCTGTGTGTGTATGTGTTTAAACAGACTAAGGATGTTCCATCAAAAGGTGTTTGTACTTTATTCTTCATGTCCGGTATATTCTTGCCTAGACACATGGTTCTTTCTCATTCAAGACTCTTAACAAAATGTACCTTTATCAAAGAGGTCCACAGTACCTACCTAAAGCAGCACCATCTACTACTCTTTTTGCTTTCCCTGCTTTCTTTTCTTCACTGCATTTATCCTCATCCAGACTATATATCTTGATTGCTTTTTCCCACTACAGCGTGAGTTTCACAAGGTCAGGCATTTCTGTGTTTTCCTTATTGCTGCATCCTGTACCTGAAACAGTAGGTATTTCAGAATGAGTGAACACTGCTGTACAAAGAAAGTCAGCTTTCCCCATTTTCTAAGCTGAGAATCAACTTTTCCCACGCATTACTCATGTTCTCCTCCAGGTGGTGCTGACTGGTCTTTTTGTTTGCTAATGTCTAGGAGATACAACAGTGTTGCAAAGGAATAGAGTAAGCTTGCTTTTTCATGCCTCTGGTCTAGAGTTGTGAGCTTTTTTTAGATGGCACCCATAATCTCCCTTAATTTATTTCTTCTTATTCCTATGGGAGAAAAAAAAATATATGGGCCTTTAACAAAAGCATTTTTGGTACGCCATCTAACAATCTTTACAACTCCATGATTAGGACCACAATCCCCACTTTGGCTAAGTGAAAACACACACAACTCTCACAGCAGTTAAGAACTGGAGTCTAGATAGTAATACAGCTGTGGCTGCAAACTCCTGCCCCTTCAGAAGACTTCCTTGATTTTATCCTGTTAATTGCTCCCTTGATGAGGCTTCAAGAGAAATACAAGTCTTTGAGTTGATAATTTGCATTTCAGAGATTCCCATACTGTCGTCTGCCCCTTTCCCCAACAAGTTCCCTTTTTCACACAAAGACACCCTCTCCGGCATTCTTCCAGAGATCCAAAGTCCACTAACAGCACTTCCCGTCCCAGGTGCAGGGCAATGTGCTAAGTCTGGATGCAGTGCCCAAGAGATAAGAATCTTCCAAGTTGGCTGTTGTCCAGGCTCATCATCCTCATCGTAGTAAAGCACAGGCCAGGAAGACAAAGAGCAGGTGCATCTGTGAAAGGAAACAGAAAGCCATCTGGTCCTCAGGGAAAGGATGTTTTCAATTCTTACTCTGGGCCCAGGGTTAAAGTGACAGAGAAGTTTGGCACTTGGAAGCTCCTTAAATACTTACTTACTGTCTGAGAGTCAGTAAATCAGGGGCATGAGAGAGTAACTGATTCAAACAGTTACAAAGTAAATTACTGCCAGATTTGGAAACTCACATCAGGTCTCATGAATCTTTTAATTTTTCTGCTATACTATGTATGAACATTCATTTCTAAGACCATTATTCTAGACAGAGCCAAGACAAAGGAGTAGCTCAATTCTGACAAATTTATAAGATCAGATAAAATTAAACATGCTGTGATTTTGATGGCATGTCTCCTCTCTCCTTTCATTACAAATTCTAGTCAGATTCCTTTGTCCCTCTTACTTAAAACTAGATTGGCAAAACTAGAAAGTTGTTTTTTCCAACAGGGAATGTGTACCGGAAAGCATAACACACACCTAGGTATTGCTTAGTGATTAAGCAGAGTAGGTAAATTTCTTCATCTAGGAAGAATCCTCTGTTCCCCAACTTAAAACCATGCAACATTTACTGGGATTTCTGAAGAGCCGGTGGAAGTGACACCCCTTTCCTCCTTGGAAGCACATTTCTAATAGTAAGTATGATGCAGAAAGGGGTAAATAAAGCTTTAACTGCACAGCTGCGTCTAGAGGGCATCTGAGTGACTCCAGCTAATTCTTCAGTCTGACTACACAGTCCAAAACAATCTTGGCTTTGCTTTCTGTCAAGCTAGGACTTGTAGGTTTATAGGTGAATGGCAACCCACTCCAGTACTCTTGCCTGGAAAATCCCATGGATGGAGGAGCCTGGGAGGCTGCAGTCCGTGAGGTCGCAGAGTCGGACACGACTGAGCGACTTCACTTCCTTCCACTGCAGTCTGGTTAGAATACCATCTTTCTTCCCTGGGATTAGAAGAGTTCAGATTTATAGACTGTTAAAGATGTAGTGGTCTGTTTCAATCAAACTCTTGGCTCTGGAGGACTATCCAAGCCAAGGAAAATGAGAGGAGCTGAATTACGACAGAAATTTTTATTTATTAAAATGTGTCCTTCAGTAATATGTTAGCATACATACAATATACACACATACATCTGTACACTCTTTGACACACCTCACGGATTGCCACCATAAGTTTAACCAATAAATTAAAACTAAAAAAGGGGGGGGCAACGGAGATGTGGGGATGCATGGAACTAAGGGCAAAATTTCCATGTTTCATCTGGTAAGAAACTGCAAATTTATCAGAATTTCCCTGGGGAAAACCTGTGACCAGAGAATCTCTGAAATAAAAGTACAGAAATCCCTGCCCCCCCAAAAGATTCCAAAAGATGCAGTTACAAGTGTGCTTCTCAGAACAGGAGCATTCTTTCCACTTCATACTCTGGCTTCTGCATCTTCTGGCCTCAAGATAGTCTTGCCCTCAGCTGGGGCAGAGAGGTTCATATGGGCACTTGGGCTTGGTGCACCTGGGGCTCTGGGTGTTGAGGGGCAGGCTGCAGCTTGGGAGCGAGGGGAGCCACACTCATCTGAGGTGATGTCTGGCACGTCATCTGACTGTGTATCAGAACTCTCAAGGTCACTGCGGATGCTCTCGGGTTGGGCCAGGCTGATGTCCCAAGGTTTGCTGGCCAGGCAGTCTTTCTGTTCACAGCTTTGGTGTTTGCAGGGGGGGTCCTCTTCACCATTGCCACTGCTGCTGGCACCACCACCACCTCCACCACCATCATCTTCTTCATTCTCCGCCATCTGTGCATGAACATGGAGTGAGTCCTCTGTGCTGCTTCCACTCACTAGCTGATAGTGACTTGGTTTGGCTTCAATGTCCACTTGGATTTCCATATTGTTGCATTCTCTGTGGAGACAAAATCCACTTTGCTGAATCATGCATGGGTCATGCTACACCTGTTGGTAAAAGCAGTTTGTGGGTTCAGGATTAGAAAGTCCCCAAATATAGGTAAATAGTAGACTAGAGCTCACTTTTAGATAAAAATAAAATTTAATCTAGTACTCAAATAAGATGGAGAAGAATAATTAGATCTCCTTGATGATTTAAAATATGCACACAAACATCTCTGACAATTTATTTCTTTTTAAATTTTTATTGGAGTGTAGCTGATTTACAGTGTTGCATTAGCTTCTGCTGTACTGCAGTGAATCAGTTATACCTGTACACATAGCCACTCTTTTTTTTTTTTAATACCCACTCTTTTCAAAGATTCTTTCCCCACATAGGTCATTACAGAATATTGAGAAGAGTTTCCTGTGCTATATATCCTTATCAGTTATTCTGCTAATTTCTTTAAACAACTAAAAATGAGCTTCCAAAATTCAACTAAGGATCAGAACCTCACACTATCTTCCTCAAAATATGAGAGTGAAAGCGTCACAGCTTTTTATTTCTCTGCTACAATGAGAAGAAACCAGAATCTCTCCAGTAGGGAGTGCTGTAATCACACCATACGAGATACACTAGCTTCTCAAAAATAAATAGGCTACAGAAGCCACATCAAGCAAGAATCAACATTAAGAGCAGAAACCATAGAGCCATAGACATCAGTGAATATCCATCTAGCTTGTTAAGTTCCATGTGAATAATTACACTGTTGCAACAGCCAAAAAAAAAAAAAGAAAAAGGAAAAGAAAACCTCTAAAAATCAAGTGCTAACAAGAAGAATCAATCAAGGATGCCAAACACTCCCATACCAAGAATGTGCTCAATGAATCTACAGGGTATACACACTATGTATCCCACTATATGGTACATAGAGCCCTAACATGAAGCATTGAGCTTCTAAGGCCAAAACTCAACCAAAAAATGCAACTTCTCCTAGGCATCTGACTGTTCACATACCTGTCCTGTGGGTTGTAGGAACTGATTATGGAACCGGCCATAGCACGAGTGCTTGCGTTGTCACTAATTGCACCAAGACTGGCTGTGTCTTTGGGGAAAATTTCCTTTTGGACATCGGCTTGGACTTCTAACCTGTGTAAAGAGGGGACGTTTAAGTTAATATGAGATCTGGGTATTCCAAGACAGTCTGCTTCCTGGCACATACCTCTTACATTATTCTCTTGCAAATTTGAGTTGATCTGATCTTCTCCAAAAGCCAAATAGCTCAAAGAGATGCTCACACATTTTTCTCTCTTAAAGTTATCTATTGAAATCGTCCCCTCCTTTCCATCCCCACTGCTTTTGCTTAACTTCAGGCTCTCAACAGCTCCCGCATGGGTAACTGCAATTGTGCTCTCTCCAGTGGCCGTAAGTCCAAGTCAAACAACTTTGAGATCAGTGCCAAAGTGGACAAAAACCTGATCACTCTACCAGCCCCTTTCTTGGCTCCCTCTTGCCATCAGGCATTTAAGGTCTACCTGATCTGCCTCCAAGCTCTGTCTCCAGTTCCACCTCTTACCATAGGTCCTAAATCCTAATCACATTGGATTTTTTTTCCCCTTACACACCTATACACATTTTATACCTCTCTGATTTTGCATATGCTAGTCCCTCTCTTTGGAAGTTTCCTTTCTCTATGTGACAAACTCATACTTAGTTCTTAACAACAAAGGAAGCATTATCTCCTCCCTTCATTCTTCCGTCAAACCAGTCACCTTCTGCGAAGTGCTCCACAGCAACTACCTATTTATTAAATCAGTTTACACATCTCTTTCCCACTCAGTTGTGAGCTCCAAAAGAGGACAGGCCACATCTCATCCACACTTTACCCTACATGTCTTGCACGTACTAGGAACTTAAACATTCAGCAATCAAATCACCCCCAGGCTATGAGCTTAAAGGACACATAAGAGTCAACCTCCAACAAGGGCAGCAAACTTTCCCAATGGTGTCTCGGAGGACCCATAGCTTTTCCTATCTTGGCTCCAATATCATTTGGTTGCACATTTAAGTATTTCCTCATAATGGGTTTCACAGTCAAACCCATCTGACTCATTCACTTCCTATAAAAGGCTTTCACAGAACTGGAACAGCTGGCCTGGCTAAGCTGCAGTTTCAGCAAGTCAGTCCCCAATTATGTCTGCTTATTTACAGGGGTGTTGGTTTTAAGAAGGCACAGCAGTGAATTCTCCAGCATGTGGAGGCGGGATCCCCTAACAAGAGAGAATCAGAGTCAGGAGATACCAACAGGTCAGCAGCAGTCTACAGCTGCACATTCAGTCAACCTCCATCCTGCTGTCTGAGTCTCTGCTCTGCTCCTCCAGCCTTAGATGCCCTTCAGGAATGTGCCATAGTCCAGGAAAAGGAGGTAGTGCAATGGAAAGTGCATTGAGTCAGAGACCTGGGTCCTAGTTTCAGCTCTGCCATAGATCATTCTCAGAACTGGAAAAGGCCTTTCGCAAAGGCCATCTCCTTGGGTGGTTCCTAGAAGCTGTCTGCAATGGCTATGCTAGAATCAGCTGGGAAGAATTTTCAAAACAGAGATTCCTAGGTCCCACTCTGGGAGATTCTAATTTATTAATTCCGGGATAAGGCACTGCAATCTATTTTTAAAAGGCTCCCAAGTGAGTGACACGCACTCAGGTGTGGGATCCAGCCCATCTGCCAACTGCTGCTTGACCTCCTAATAGCCACATGGCCCTCTGGTCTCACTTCAAATACTTCTAGAGGTATAGAGCTCAATATCTACTGATATAATCCATTCCTTCTTTGGACTTTATACAGATTTTTCCTACAGTCTCTATAATGAAACAAAATTCATTTCCCTCTAGCCTCTGCCGAATCATCTTAATCTATCTCTTGGCATGAGGCAGAAGTCTTAATCCTTTTTTCCACTTCAAGGCCCTTCAGATAACTGAAGGCAAGCATCTCCTCTACCTCTGTACCTTGTTTTGTATCACCTTTACCCCTCCTCAGGCCTCTTCTCCAGTGCATTCAAATAACTGCTTCTCACGTAACATCTGCTATGCTACTCTGAATATGTTCTGTTTTATCTACCTGGTGAAACAACCAACCAAGTCACAACCATTTTAGTCATAAAGACTTACATATTCTGAACACAAGTTTATAGAATTGATTTTTCTTATCAAATGGGAATCAGAACAGGAAGGTTATAAGGATCACAGTATCAATAAGCCAACAGGGTACAGCATAAATGCTGTTCAACTAAAAGCCAGTGACAAGCCTAATGGAGGACATAGTCTTGGGAATTCTACAAAAATGCATGCTTTCCCTTCCTAAAAGAGGCAGCCTAACACAGTAGAGGGAGGATCTGAAGTCAAGATTATTCTTTATATGGAGACACTATGGTACAGTGGGAAGAAACACAGAACTTTTATGTTGCGTCACTCAACCTTTTTAGCCTGTTTTCTGATTGTAAAAGTTAAAAGAAAAACAAAAAACCCCACCACTGATGATTAAATGAAAATGAGATGCTATATGAGACATGCCTGACACAGAGAAATGGTTCAACATGATATGTCACTTCTCATAATTCTAACTAGTTCTGTCAGAAATTGCTTACCTGCTGTATTTTCCCTTGCCACTGGAAAGAATACCACCACTCAGTGTGCCCCCTGAGAGGGCTGCAAAGCTGGCTGTTTCGCTGTATGGTCCTTGCATAACACTAAGTCCATCTGTAGGGCTTCCACTGGTGCTCAATACGCTAGTCAGACCTTCAATGCTACTTTCCCCAATGCTGGGATTCTTGAGGGCTCGCCAGGCATCTGCCACTGGGGATGGAACCAAACATCACAACTGAAGATAGCACAACATCAAAACAGGGTCTGGCATCTTCTTGCAATGACTCTTCAGAGTAGAGAATAGTCATGTAGAAAAATACTCATTTATTCACTTAATGAATAGCATCTACATTCAGCCACCACGTATCAGGTATTTTAACATATGCTCACATTTAATTTTCCCAAGAAATAGGAACTAATAACCCCAATTTTAAATGAGGAAATGAAAGCTTAGAACTAAATGCCTTGTCTATGGTCAGTCACACAATACTCCATGTGATGCTGAGTCCATTATTCTTTCCATTATACTACCGATGCCACCTAATCAAACATAAATATTTCCAAATACATTTAGGTCATGTGCTGATTCTAGTAGGAAGTTTGAAAAATCTCTGGGGATCTGTGTCTCTCAGGTTAGTTAATACGGTAAAGTGGAAACAACATCAAAGTGTAAGTCAGAAGATCTGCTATAGTTCCAGCTCTTCAGAAGTTCTTAAACCCATTTAACAGATGTTGAGACAAAGGCTTAAAGAAGTTCCCATTAATCGGGGATAATAACAGTCCCGGTCCTCTCTCTTCAGAGCTGTTGTAAAAACCAAGTGAAATAATAACTGTGTAAAGTCTTCTGAAAATTATAAAGTATTGTGCAGATATAAGACTTTATTATAATTATATAATTTACTATTACCAGCATACTTAAGAGTTACTTGGAGTCCTACTAGTTTGTACCTGCCACACAGAGGCAAGTACCAGAGGAATTAACCTAGTAACTCTGGAACAAAGAAATGAAAAGCTAAAAATACTTTACCTCCTATAAAGCTCATTATCCAAAGTAATCCAATGTCAATCTCTCTGTAAAATGTGCTGAATTTTACTGACTTTTATCTGTGTCCCATAAATTCAAAGGGAAATGAAAATTCTTTTACCTGTGATTGGACCATCATCTTCATCAAACTCAATTTTCACTCCCTTTCCATTGGCTGTACTAACTCCACAGCCACCTCCTCGACAGAGAGAAATAGGCACAACCCCATAGACATAAGCCAGCATAATAGGGACGCCAATACCTAGGGAAGAGAAGGAAACATGTCAGCAGGCCACTGGGTTGCAGCTGTCCTGAATTCTCCTTCCCATAGCTGAAGACAGACAAACCACTTTATAAAGGGTCGAAGAAAGACAGAATATGACTACGCTAAAGAAGCACCCTGATCTAACAGAATGATGACTGGACTTGGAATCAGAAAGGCCTGGGTTAGGATCCTGGCTTCAATTTACCAGCTATTGCAACCTTGAACATGTCTTCCTTGGGTTGCCAACAATCAATGCATGCATAGGGCCTAGCACAGCACATGTATGTTGCTTTCATTTCCCCACTTCCATTCATTGCTGAGATGCTAATCCCAGAACGAATTAATAATCAAACATGAAACAAGTGACTCTAAGGGTTCAGGATCCCCGCCCCACCCCTGAGTGTTAATTCTAAAATCTTACTGCTGTGGAAGGCAGAAGGGCTTAGTTGTTAAGAGCCCAGACTCTGAAGTCAGACTGCCCTGATTCATGTCCCAGCTAATGGGACAAGTTATTGCAACTTCTGTCACAACTATGCTGTTGTGAGGATTAAATGAATACATACAGGTAAAACCCTCAGACCTGCTCCGGCAAATGGAGTTATGTTATTGTTATTCTAAAACAAACCCTCATGCCTCCCAAAATACTGTAAGGCATTAAGTAAATCAAAATTTTGTTTTGTGGGTTTTAATGGCAAGTGGAGAGGGAAGAGGAAAGGTAAAAAACTAGGCCTTAAAGTAATATCCTTTAATTCAACCTTTTTGTATGTGCCAGATGGAGTTCTAGGTACTAACTTAAGAATAAAAGATTCCAAACTCTGATACTTTACTGTGGCTGATAATAATAATGAAAGTGAAGTGTTATTTGCTTAGTTGTGTCCGACTCTTTGAGACCCCTTGGACAGTAGCCTTCTAGGCCCCTCTGTCCATGGAATTCTCTAGGCAAACATACTGGAGTGGGTTGTCATTCTCTTCTCCAGGAGTTCTTCCCGACGTGAAGATCAAACCCAGGTCTCCCGCACTGTGGGCAGGTTCTGTACCATCTGAGCCACCAGGGAAGCTTGATAATAACCACAATAACAGTGCCTACAAGAGTTAACTCCCAAGGTGGGTCTGACACAAAAACGTAGGAGCCTCCAGAGGTGAAACATCTGGCCAGCTGGCTAAACTGTGAGGCCAGAAAGCTGACGGGAGTAGGTGCGGTGGGGTGAGGTCAGGTGGGGGAGGGAGTCGTAGTCTTGGCCAGCTTCTTACCAACGCTAACCGCAGCAATGACAGGGGATGCGATGACTGACAAAGTCACTCCTCCTGTGATCGCCAAATTCCTCTTATGTTTGGAGGTTTTCCTTCCCTCATACCTGCTATGAATCTAAGAAGAAAGAAAATCCAGGTCAGCGAGTTAGGACATCAATCTTTTTGCTGGGGAGAAAAAGGATAAGTAAATATTCCCTTATAAGTTATCTATATTAAAACATAGTCCCTCATCTCAAAGAGACATCTTTCTCACATTTTAATTTAACTCAGACCAGGCAGGTATAAACTAATATGAATCAGTTAATACAAGAAGAGACAACGTAGGTGAGTGAAGTAAGCATTCACCTTTAAGTCACTGAGACAAACCAGGCCTAGGATGTTATTAAGAACTTTTAGATCTCTTGCGGGGTTTATGAAAATCCATTTAAGAAACTAATGTCATTATTATTCAAGAACCACTTGGCTTTCAGGCAGCTCTGAAATATAAGTTCCTCCCCATTTCCTTCAAAACTCTACCAATAAACCCGAAGTTGGAACAGGGACAGAATTCAACATCTTACCTTCCTACCAACATAAACAGGAATGCCGATGACCATGGCAGGAATGGCAATGCCAGCAATGAGGGAAATCCCCACTGGGGCACCAATCAATGTGCCCAGCTGCCAAAGAATTTTCTTCTTACGGCTCCATGGCTTCTTGCCCCAGAATGTACAGCCAGAGGGGCTGCAGAGGAAATATGCCAAAGTTAATGTCAATATTACAAATGCAGCTGTTGTTACCAGAGAGTTTGATAAGAGCAAGAGCCTTCTTTTCCATATAAGTGATTAATAGTTATAGGAGGTTATAAGAAATGAATATATTGCATAAGGGGAAGCAAAGCCCAAGGTGAGACTATTAAGAGTTCTGGCTCTTTAATTTTTTTTTTTTAATTTTATTTATTTACTTATTTATTTTTTTTTTATCACAACCATAGTGTATCTTTTTTTTTTTTTTTTACATGTATTGCCCATCCCGGTCCCCCCTCCCACCTCCCTCTCCACCCAATCCCTCTGGGTCTTCCCAGTGCACCAGGCCTGAGCACTTGTCTCATGCACCCAACCTGGGCTGGTGAACTGTTTCACCCTAGATAATATACGTGTTTCAATGCTGTTCTCTTGAAACATCCCACCCTCGCCTTCTCCCAGAGTCCACAAGTCTGTTCTATACATAGGAGTCTCTTTTTCTGTTTTGCACATAGGGTTATCGTTTCCATCTTTCTAAATTCTATATATATGTGTTAGTATACTGTAATGGTCTTTATCTTTCTGGCTTACTTCGCTCTGTATAATGGGCTCCAGTTTCATCCATCTCATTAGAACTGATTCAAATGAATTCTTTTTAATGGCTGAGTAATATTCCATGGTGTATATGTACCACAGCTTCCTCATCCATTCGTCTGCTGATGGGCATCTAGGTTGCTTCCATGTCCTGGCTATTATAAACAGTGCTGCGATGAACATTGGGGTACACGTGTCTCTTTCAGATCTGGTTTCCTCGGTGTGTATGCCCGGAAGTGGGATTGCTGGGTCATATGGCAGTTCTATTTCCAGCTTTTTAAGAAATCTCCACACTGTTTTCCATAGTGGCTGTACTAATTTGCATTCCCACCAACAGTGTAAGAGGGTTCCCTTTTCTCCACACCCTCTCTAGCATTTATTGCTTGTAGACTTCTCTTTAATTTTTTTGTAAAGGCAGGTCCCTAAACTTGAAACCTCTTTTTCATTCTTTTCTGCTGAACTCTATCTTCTCTAACCCACCAAAATGAACCTACTTCTTTGTGTGATACTACATGGGAACCTATATAGTCTATGCACTTGACATCTCATCCAAACATTTTGTATCTTGCAGTGAAGGAACTCTCTTTGATTTGCATGGTTTTCTTGGCATATATAGACACTGCAAATCATGTTCCTGGGATAAGATATAAAAATATTTCATCACACCCTTTACAACAGTTTCATACTCTGAGTTTGGCTACTTTTACACTTAGTTGTTCTGAGTCCAACCATTTTTGTTAACTCCCTTTGTGCTGTCTTTTCTACTAGATACGGTAAGCAATTTTGAAAGTTAGGGGTCATGTCTTATGTACTCCGGTGTCCGTAATAAACTGGTATACTGTAATGCTTGCTAAATTGAAAATGAAAGTGTTTCATCCACACAATGAATGTTAAATTTGCAAATATTACCTCCTTCAGGACAATATTTGAATGACTACTACACTGAAGGAACTGTAAAAAGGTTAACACTTAACCTTAAGTGTTCATAATACAGCTTAACAAAATTAGACATGTAAACGAAGTGAAAGTCATAATGATGTTTATAAAGGAACATGTAAAGAATGTCAGTAAAGAAGAATGAAGCAGAAAAAGCTGGGGGAAGGCATCACAGATGGAATGGCATTTAAAGTGGCTCTTGAAGACTGGATAAGAAATGAACAGGTGGAGATAAAATGGGGTTGCTGGGAGGTGAGGTGATTAGAAAGCATTCCAGGCAAAGGAAAGAACATGAATGGTCAGGGAGCTAAGAGCACAGAAGAGACACAGATAATCTGGGATACACTATTTATGAAAGCAAATTGGAAAAAGTTAGAAAGTACATTGGGGCTAGACTGTAAAAAAAAAAACCTTCAAAGCCATCCTAAGGAAGTTGAACTCTATCTGGAAGGTTAGGGAAAACAGTCACTGGAAGTTGCTGAGCTGGAGAAAAACATGATTGGAAGGGTGTTTCAGAGGAAGTTTTTACAGCTTCCTTATGCTGTAATGAGAGGACAGATGATGTCTCTTTGACATCCTTTTCCCTCAATCAGTAAGGGATGAAGACTATAAATAAAAACAATGGACCTACTGTTTTATGGTCTTGTTCTCTCACTGATTTAGGTAAAAGGATGTCAGAGGGAAGGGTGAGACGAATTGGGAGAGTAGGACTGACATATATACACTACTGTGTATAAAACAGGTAGCGAGTGAGAAACAGCAGTATAGTACAGGGAGCTCAGCTTGGTGCTCTGTGATGACCTAGAGGGGTGGGATGGTGGAGGTAGAAGGGAGGTTCAAGAGGGAGGGGATATAAGTATACATTTTAGCTGATTTATTTACTTCATTGTACAGCAGAAACTAACACAACATTGTAAAGCAATTATACTGCAAAAAAAAAAGGACACTTTCTCATCTCACCTGAGGTAATGCAAGTCTGAGATCTCTTTCATACAAAGCCAACAGAATTCACAGCCACACACTGCACAGGTCATATGATTACAGCTTCCATCATTCATCTTGATAATGTAAGCACTGCATCGTGGGCATGGCTTGATGTCATCTGCTGAGGGGAGGGAGGAAGAATGGGTAGAAAAATACCCCTACTTAAACCTAGTTTGGTTTTATTATTCCCAGGAGTATGCATAAGTAATGAGGCAGTCAAGAATTTCTGACTGAGGATTCCAGATTGTGCAACCCACTTCGCTGGAAGGCTGGCTACGTCTAGACCTCAGGAAATTTCATAAAACGGATCCTGTCTCATATTGAGCTGCCTATCCCCCAAAATGGCATCTTCCACAGCACGTGAGCCACACTCGGAGCAAAGAGACTTCCCTAGAGAGAGAGATGGTTCCAAGAAAAATGGAATTTCAGCAGTCAATAGGCTGGCAGAATTAAAAGCACAGTTCTACAGGAAGAACAGTCTGTAGCCTGCATTTGGCTTTAAGTCTTGAAAAATCTTAGTTCAGGAAACTCCTTTCACAGGTTCAACAAGTATCACTGTGGTTTGTTGTTAATACAATACACAGCCTCTTGCCATGATACTTTAAAATTCAAAACCTAAAAACAACTGTGTGTGCTATGTAGCATACACCTGGTAATTTTCACAGCAAGCTAGGAACTAACCTATTAAAAACAAAAAGTTAGGAGATTAGGTTGTGCCAGGAAAAAGTGAATGGTAAATCTTTCCTACTAGCTTCCCCAAATGACATGAGTGAAATAAAGCACATTTATAAAAGGTAATAAGCCCAATGACATTTTAAAATAGGTTTCCTTTGACATGTCAAGGTTGAAACTGAATGTGTGATACTCCTTCTTTTAAGGTTAATCATTAATCCATACTAACATCACTTGCTTTCCTCAAATCTGCACCCTACTTCCAAAAACAGTGATGTACTTAAAGCTAGTAGGAAAACAAAATAGGTTTAATACCAAATGTCTTTCTGCTCATGATGAAAGGACTGAAAAAGCCCCTAGCAAAAGTACCTAACTGCTCTCCAATCTGAGACATATTACTAAAAAGGCAGAAACTACAGAATTCAGTTTTGCTTTATTCCAAGTCACCTGGGTTGGACAGTCTATAAATGGCCAGAGAGAGAAGCTACATATTAAATATAGTATTGAGAGTATTACCAAATAGTTTCTGCTTTCTAATCCTTGAGTCATACATTAAGGTAATCTCTCCCAACTTTGGGCTCACATTATGAAATATCAAATAAAAAGACAAATGAGACTACGCCAACTTATACCTGGTCCAGATTCTTGTCCATAACTGAGCCCTGAAGTGTGCTTGGTGCGGACTCGCAACGTCTGTGCCCTCTGCTGACGGGCCATATCGCACGTCTGATTTGGATGCCATATTTGCTTGCAGTGGTAACAGAACTCAGTCTGGCAGCCTTCCCTCTCACAGGTCAGCTTTGGGCAGCTGGCACAGCCATAGGCAATAACTGCATACCTGCGTAAGGAAATAGGACGAGATATAAGCTAAGACATTATGCATTGGTTCCAGTGGGGTAACACTGTTTGGTGTCCCCCACCACTTCATTCGGTATAGAGGAAAGAACACACATATGTGTAACACACACACATATTCTGTGTGAGAAAGTAAATTTCTTCTTGAGATTCTAAAAATATAAATTACTTCCTGAAAAAATAGGAAAACATCATATTTAGCCAGATTTTTTTTTTTGCCATGTTGAGTGGCACGTAGGATTTTAGTTCCAACCAGAGTTTGAACCCATGTCCCCTGCAGTGGAAGCACAGTCTTAACCATTGGACTTTCAGCCTGAATTCCTAGCATGTATTCAGTCATAGTTTAAGCTGCTTTGTGAACAGTCTGTCATAGCAAGTTTCATAAATAAGGGTACAAAACGATTTCCTTTTGATGGTTTGCTATATTTAGAGAAATCAGAATTTGTTTAAAGGACAGAATATTTGTATAATAAAGACCAATAGAAAAAACTAAAGCAAGTATACTTTTTATTTTTTTTATTTATTTTTTAGCAAGTATACTTTTTAAAAAAACTGTGGTATAGTTCATGTACAATATTATGTTTCAGGTGTTCAACAATGATTCACAATTTTTAAGCTATATTCCATTTATAGGTATAAATTTTTGGCTATATTCCCTGTGCTGTACTATGTATCTTTGTAACATTTTTATACATAGTAGTTTGTACCTCATAATTCCCTACCCCTATCCTGTCTATCCCATATTCCTTCCCTCTCCCCGACTAGTTTGTTCTCTATATGTGTGTGTTTTTTTTTAATACTCACTAGTTTGTTTTATTTTTTTAGATTGCACATATAAGTAATATCATTTATATTTTTCTTTCTCTGGCTTATTTCACTTAGCATAATATCTTGTGGGTCCATCCATGTTGGTGAAAATGGCAAAATTTCATTTTTTATGGCTGAGTAGCATTCTATTGCATATGTATACCATATTTTTAAAATCCATTCATCTGTTGATGGACACTTACGTTGTTTTCATATCTTAAAAGTGAAAGTGAAAGTCGTTCATTCATGTCCGACTCTTAGTGACCCCATGGACTATATACATAGTCCACAGAATTCTCCAGGCTCTGGAGTGGGCAGCCTTTCCATTCTCCAGGGATATTCCTAACCCAAGGGTCAAATCCAGGTCTCCTGCATTACAGGCAAATTCTTTACCAGCTGAGCCCACAAGGGAAAACCAAGAATTCTGGAGTGGGTAGCCTATCCTTTCTCCAGCGGATCTTTCCAACCCAGGAATTGAACCAGGGTCTCCTGCATTGCAGGCAGATTCTTTACCAACTTGGCTATCAGGGAAGTCTTATATCTTGCCAATTGCATATCTTGGTAACTTTCATATTTTGGCAACAGCAAATAATGCTGTTATAAATGCTGCTATTAAGGTGCATGTATCTTTTTCAATTAGTGTTGGTTTTTTTTTTTTTTTCTTTCCAGATAAAACACCCAGGAATGGAATTGCTGGGTTCCAGGGGCTTTGCAGGTGGCACTAGTGGTAAAGAACCTGCCTGCCAATGCAGGAAACATAAGAGACACAGGTTCCATCCCTGGATTGGGAAGATCCCCTGGAGGAGAGCATGACAACCCACTCCAGTATTCTTGCCTGGAGAATCCCACAGACAGAGGAGCCTGGCAGGCTACAGTACATAGGGTTGCACAGAGTCAGACATGACTGAAGTGATTTAGCACGCACACACACATGGTAATTCTATTTTTAATTTTTGGAGAAATCTCCATACTGTTTTTCATAACGGCAAAACCAATTTACATTGCCACCAAAGGTGTATGACGGTTCCCTTTTCTCTGCATCCTTGCCAGCATTTGTTATTTGTGGCCGTGTTGATGATAGCCATTCTGATAGGTGTGAGATAACATCTCACTGATTATTTTCTCTCATTCAATAGGTTGTCTTTTTGTTTTGTCAATGGTTTCCTTTGCAGTACAGAAGCTTTTAAGTTTAATTAGGTCTCATTTATTTATTTTTTTTAAAGAAATACTTTTTCAAAAATTTACTTATTTTTTCCGGTTGTGCTGAGTCTTTGTTGCTGTGCACAAGCGTTCTCTAGTTGTGGTGAGTGGAGGCTCCTCTTCACTGTGGTTCAGGGGCTTCTCTCTGCGGTGGCTTCTTTTATTGCAGAGTACACGCTCCAGGGCATGGGCTTCAGGAGTTGTGGTATGCTGGCTCAACAGTTGCAGCTCATTGGCTCAAGAGCTTGGGCTCAGTAGTTGTAGCAAGTGGGCTTAGTTGCTCTGGGGCATGTGGAATTTTCCCGAACCAGGGATCAAACCCATGTCCCCTGCATTGGCAGGTAGATTCTTATCCACTGTACCACCAGGGAGGTCCAGGGATCATTAATTTTTGCTATATCCTCTGCTTTAGGAGACAGATTAAAAAAAAATATATTGCTACAATTTATGTCAAATAGTGTTCTGCCTATATTTTCTTCTAGGAGTTTTATGATTTCAATCCTTTTTCATTTTTAGGTTTCACAGTGAAGCTGACCTGATGACAGACTGAGAGACAACTGAAAGCTCACTTTATCTTTCCGTTATTTCTTCCAACATGAATGTATACCTTGAAATGTCTTCTTTCTTGACAGGTTCCAGAATCCAAGAATACCACTCATCAGTCTTGTTAATCAACATGGAATATGGCCATTATTTCCTCCTAATCCCTTTTGATACATATTCTTAGTTACGAAACACAATTCAGGATCTATCAGCACCAACCAGCATTAACTAAGTTTCTTACAATTTATGTTTATTTACCAAGAATTATTTTCCTACAAACAATCCAATGTATTTACAACTATTAGCCTTTCTAACTCTAAAAATCTCAACTAAATGCACAGGCTACTCTAGTAAGTGGACGCATTTAAAATAAGAATTTTTTTAAAAAAGTAATTTAAACAAAGAAGGGAAGACAGCAGTAGTGAAAGTTCAAACAATTTTTAGACAAGTCAATGACTGCAGGCTTGGTGTTGTCATCCCCTATGCCATGCTCTCCTCCAATAGCCAAAGACCTCAAACAAACAAAATAATAGCATTTTCTTAGATCTATTTTACAGTTTGCTTATTTGATTGTACATTAGATATTTATGACAGCAACTTAAGTTCCAGGCTTATCATAGATTCTGCAAGTTGATTTGAGAATGACACTGAAAATATCAATGACAAGGTTTCATCTATGTTACATAACACAGGCTGTATTAAAACCCTTTTCAGAAAGAGCAAAGTGAGTTCAATGTATAAATGCAAATGATTCATATCCTGTAGGAGTTCTGAGCAAATTTATCCCACCGAGTTGCAAAATAACTACTAAAGATAAACAATATTTTTTCTGAAGAAAGTGATTTGCTTGCTATTTTGTGTTAAATAAGAAAGGTACTAGGTGACCTCAGAAAAAAGTATTAAGTCAACGTCAGACAAGACAATACAAATTAGACAGACTGCCAGTCAGGAAGCCTTTGAACATTTCATGATATATTTCTACCTCACATAGTGGGAGTAATATTTATTAACAGATTTTTCTCTCTCTCTCTCTCTTTTTTTCAAAGAACATTTGATAGGACTGACAATATCAATTTTGGGTGTGGAATTTTGAAGGAAGTAAAATAACCTCAAATACTCATGAACCTACAGCAACTTATTATTGTGACACAGAATTACTCAGGGCACGAGACTTGGCATTCCAGTTTTTGGGTGCCTAGTCTAGGCTCTTTGCCCCTGACTCATACTGCATGACACTGAGCTAATTAAAATCTCCAAACTTTAGATTCCATCCCTAAAATGGAAGTATAGGTGTTTGCTGCTTTCAAGTGTAACTAAACATGTTTTAAAACTGCACTTGAGACCTTGCCCTGAAAGTCATGGTATAAATACACGGCACATTCTGTCCCACTTCCTGGCCTCTGTACACCCTGTTACTCTCTGCCTTGAAACGCCCTTTCCTTACTTCTTGCCCTGGCAAACACTAATCCGTTTAAGAACCAGCTCAAATGTCATCCTTTCTATAAAATCCACTTAACCTCTCCAGGCAGTTGGTTGCCCACTTCCTGTCTGTGCATAATTACTTCACAATACTTAACACATTATACTGTAAATATGTTTATATGTATGCTTCCCCCAACCAGACTAGGCAAGGAAAAATACCAACCATTTTTTAGTCTCCAGGGTCTAGCACCCTGATTCATGCTTAAAACACCTGTTTTGAAGGAATGATATAGAGACCCTCTCCTCTTCGGGTTTTTTACTTTATATTGGTCCATTACATTTCCCTAAAGCAATCTTTTAAACTTATCTATGTATCTATTGGTTTTCTATATGCTAATTACTATAACTTAATCCTAAAATTCTGTATAAGCCCTTTTGAGGAGTAAATTCCTAAATTCTGAATAGGGCAATCTCCTACCTTAGGTAGTCAAAAAAAGAAGAAAAAAAAAAACCAAAAACTATTTTGTTCTTTCTCTTCTCTAGCCTACATTGGAATCTCTCTCCTACTCTGCTTTCTTAGCTCAACAGAGCATTGAGTATGGCAAAAACCACTACAATATTGTAAAGTAATTAGCCTCCAACTAATAAAAATAAATGGAAAAAAAACCCAACAAATCTATGTCCTAGAAAAATAAATAAATAAAAGTAAGGTCTAGGAAATTACACGATGCTAAGAAAACAGAAGCATCCTTTCTCCCTCTTAAGTTCATACAACTTTTATTAATTTTGTCAATTTGCTATCTTCAGAAACATTATAATGTGACAGGCTAGACCACAACATTACCTTACTCTGGCCTGGGGGGTGGAAATCCCATTAGTATGAATTTGATTATGTGCCAACAAATCCTGGTAGTTAAAGAAATGTGTTCCTATATTATGTCTACACTTCACCATTCCAGGCCATGTAACTTCATTTACAAACAGACTCTGAACATATATAAGGGTGGATGA